ATTTGAAGGCAACGTGGAATTTTGGTGATAATGTAACAGAATATTTAAATCAGAGTTGGGACCTAAATTTCACCTATCTCCTCCCACTCCTTTTCCCCTTTCCCCTCCTCCACCCCACCAGTCACAAACCAGTTTATCAAAGGAACAGAAAGTTTAGAGCAGGTCTATACTAGAGCTATCATTTACTTTTGCGCTCCTGAAGTTCCAAGTTTGATAAAATTGATTTTGGAGCCAAGGAATGATATGTTAGCAATGTCATTCAATATCAGATTGCAAAACTATATTTCAACAAGAAAATTTATGCTATTAGTTAATTTTACCTGGATTAACTCCTGTAAATATTCTTGTCTAGATTTGGAGGAGGCACATATGTATATATGAAACAGAATTGACTAAGTTGTCACCAAATTGTTGAAAGAGGGTTAAGTGAATTTTGTGAATTGCTGGCCACAATCTTAACAGCTGCTTTCCTTCACTTGAAGGATACCCAGGTATTACAAACATGCCTGTACCTTTTCAGTGTGGTATAGTGGAGAAACTACTAAATTACAAGCTAGGAGGTAAGGGTTTACCAGTGAAACCCTGGGCAAGTCACTCAACCTTTGTGAGCTCCAGTGAGCCCAGCTATAAAAAAGAAGTCAGAATAGTTCATCTCTAAGGTTCTCTGAATTATTGCTATGGTGAGTCAATATTGGGCTGTATTTATCTAATTTAGCTGAAGACTATTGTCAGTACTGGGTTGTAAGTCTTCTAGATTGGGACAGTGTCCACCCTTATTGTTATCTTCTCCATAGAATCCAATCTGGGGCTTCTTGGGCAGTTGTAAAACATAATTTGAAATTCATAAGGAACAAGAAAATATTCGTTCTTCAAGGAAACTGGCTCCAGGAACATCTCAAGGAGGGAAGTAAGCACCATAACTATGTCTCATTCTGTTAAAAAACATTTTAACAGTTACTGGACTCCCTGTAGAGAAACTATGATGCACAGTTAGGTCCTAGAGATGCTCAGACTAGAGCAAATCAGTTGGATTCCAGATCTAACATTTCCCTAAGAGTCTCTATACAAGTTTCCCTACACAGTTCTCTGATTTTGAGAGATAGCACTAGGATAAGAAGTCAAGTAGCTAGTTAAAAGATATAGAAATACCTTGAAGAGTAGGCACCACCAGCCTGATCTGTGATCTCTCTCTTTTTCTTTCTTTTTTTGAAGGGAGTACCTTGACTTTAGCAGGAGCTCATGGACCTGGCTGCTGGCCAGTTGGTTTCTGCACCAGGCTGATAAGCCACAGGGACTCATTGGGAACACCTTTTCTCAAATACTTTATTTAGTATCTCTTCTGCCCTGGCTGTGGATGTCTGTACAAAGGGGGTAGGGTCTTAAAGAAATCAGAGAGGCATCCAGGAGCCATTAACTAGGCATCAATTTACACCAGTTCTCTCACTCTAGTGGGTTTGGAAGCAAGAGAACTGGAGGGGCTGAATAGGTCAGTGTGTAGCTTTTCTGGCTAAGGGGGCTATTCTCTCTGTGGGTTACAACTTCTTCATTGCCATAATTGAATTAGATCTGTTCGGTACCAGCTGCTGACTCTCCTGTTTCCCACTTCTCACTGCCATAGTCAATTACCTCTGTGACTCATTTGTGGAACTCTTCCCCCTTCCTGTTTCTCACCTCACTTGCCAAAAGCCTGGCCTTCTGCATTCTAACACTCGGCAGGGAGGGCAAGTCAGCTGCTCTCCCAGGTCACCTAAGTCCACATGGAGGAAGCCAGCCCAATCTGCCTGGCAGCTCCCTGGCCTCTGCCATGGGTAGGCCTTAGCTCCTGCCAGCTCCTTGTTTGGGGATTCACGTATGAGGCTGTCAGTTCAGGCTCTTTCTTCAAACTCTCAATCCTCCTTTTAAGTTACTACTTGACTGATCAGCTTAGAAGACTGGAGCAGGCATGATGACAGAATGACATGTATCAATGTGATTCTCTGAACATAAAGATGGGAGCCTAGCTATCACTCTTGGAAGCCACACAAATGTCTGTCAAGAGATCAGATGTCACCAAGAGAAACACAAGGCTAATCAATTGACAAGCATTTGTTGAATACTTTTGCCCATCAGAATGCTCTTCTGTCTTTGAGACAACTGCAACTCCTTCTGACTGGCCTCATCTTCCTTTGCTGTAGGCTCCTAGCTTATGATATGGATAGCTCTCATCCAAAGAAAGGCCATTATCTCTGGCACTTTACCACATCCCCACGGTGCCTGTCTGCTTTCAAAATATAAATGATGATGATGAACTTCTCAACCATAGGGTCCCGGAATGTCAGAGCTGGAAGACACCATCATGGCCACAAGAGCCAACGTCTACCTGAACCAGAATCCCTTCTGTAATGGACCTGACATGTGACTAGCTTTTGCTCGAAGACTTTTAAGGAGGGGGAACCTATTCCCTTTTGAGAAGGTAGGCTGTTCTGCTTTGGGAAAGCTTTGATTGCTAAGAATTTTCCCCCCTCTTTTACAAATCTAAATCTGCTCTTTGCAGCTCCTACCCACTGTTACTAGTTCTGCTCTGTGGGGCCAAGTAGAACATGCTCAATTCATTTTCCATATGGTAGTCCTTCAAATATTTGAATACAGATACCATATCTTCCATAACTCTTCTTTTATCCAGTTGAAACATCCTGAATTTCTTCAACTAATCCTTACTAATTGAAGTCAAGGCCTTTGACCATTCTGGTTACTTTGAGCTGGGGTACTCTCCAGCTTCTGAATATCTTTCCTAGTCTATGGCATCCAGAAATAAACATGTGACTCCAGGTGTGGTCTAAGCAGGACAGCATACAGTGGAATGATCTCCTTCCTACCGTTGAAAGTATGTGCTTTCCTGCTTCCACAATACTGATTTATGCTGACCTTGCAGTTCACTAAAACCCTTAGTTTTTTTTCCCCCCAGCTGAATTGCTGCCTATCTATGATTCCACAATTTTGTACATGGGAAATTGGGTTTTTGAGCCCCAGTGTATGAAGGGGTTATGAGTGAATTCTGTCCATCTCTACAGATATGGTATAGAATCATGCCATTCGCTGATATTCTGCTGTTGCCCCATTATACCCATCCACAAATCTTATGGCTCAACTAAGCGAAAAACTATGTTCACTAGTTAGGCCCCAGAATTCCTTCTCCTCTCTTTGTTCAAAGCTGGAACCTATTTTCTCCCAAGTGGAATGTAAGCTCCCTGAGAGAAAGGATTGTTTTGTTACTGTCTCTGTATTCCCAGCACCTAGCACAATGCCTAGCATATAGGAGGTACTTAATAAATGATTGCATTTCATTGTATGTAGCCTGATACGGCTAGGTTCTCAATCAGTTCACCCTTCTGGGAATTTCTAGCATAGAAAGATGCCAAAATCTCAGGATTAGCAGCCTATTTGTTTAAAGGGCTTAGTACAGGAGCTTAGAGCAATTTTGACAGATGAAAGTAAGTCAATTACAGCTAGAAATAACTCTGCCTTCCCATGGCCCTTTGCTCCCTGCCTGGTTCCCTTTCAAGAGTGTTTTTCCTCTATACCTGCAGGCTACTCTTCTTTCTCACTAATCCTTTCTGACCCATAACAAGACATTTAAGTTAAGTTGCCTCCCAGGGGGAAGGATTATTATAAAATATATGAAGCTTAAGAACCATCTTTTTGGTTCGGCCTTACCAAACTAACTGTTCTGTCCCTGATAGCAGCACAATGAGGGATTTGAGAGAGGGCATTGTTGTCCTCTTTGATATTAACATCAAATATTTAGAGATGTACCTCAGACTTCCTTAGTTACTCTTAATAACTTATTAGATATCTGTCGTGATTGAAACCTTTCTTGAATTTATTTACTTATCATACACAGAAAAGCAATGGGATGAAGTGGACAGAATACCGGACTTGAAATCAGGAAGACCTGGGTGAGAATTCTGCCTCAGATATTTACTAGCTGTTTGACCCTGGCTAAGTCAGTTAACCTTGTTCAGCCTCTGTTTCCTTACCCATAAAATGGGGAGGAAATGATAGCTTCTACCTCACGGATTATTGTGAGGAGCAAGTGAAATACTTTATGTAATTCCCTTTTCGGATCTTAAAGTATTACATAAATGTGAGCCACTGTCATTATTTCTTGCTGGATGGATGCTAGAAGTTCACTATCTCCTGCAATGAAGTGTGCTGTTTGTGGGCCTGGGACATGGGTGATATTCTATAACTCACCATCATGAGAAAACTGAAGGAATCTGAGAGTTTCCCTTTGATTAAGTATATAAATTCCTTCTCATTTGAGACCCAAATGAAGGGCTTTATAATACTTTTAGGCAACCATGGGGGCCACAATGGACTACCTGGTCTTTCTTTCTAGGCCTCCTAGGGTTCTCGACATCCCATTTGTCACAAAGGGCAACAGGGCCCAGGAACTGAGCATGTGCTGTGAAGTTGGGGAATGTGGAATATTCACTATTTAATTCTGGGTCTCTCCATCGAGACTGCCCTAGATGGCGTGATATGCCAGTGTAAGTGCCAGCCTGATGGATGCCATAATACGTTAAAGGGTAGAGATAATCAGCAGACTGTGATGTGAATGCTGTGTGAATGTCAACTTATTTGGCTAGGGCTGGTGCAAAACTAACAGACGGTGGCGATTTATCATCACCGCTGACTCAGGATGGATGAGGGTCAGGGGAGCACTACAGAGCTTCTGGTTACCCCCTACATCCTTTTCTCAATTCACCGAGACGCTCACTTTCCCAGGAAGAGAGACAGCCCCCAAAAGGAAATATCATCACTAATGACTTAATCTAATGGTAATTAAAGAATTTCCCACCCCTCTCTTCAGAGATGACGCCTTGTGGGCAAGAAGACCCAGTCTGATGATGAGTAGCCTAACTTGCAAGAGACTCCACATGGTGATAAAAAGGCCATATGCCCAGCCTACATCTTTGTCAACTACACCATCTCCTAGCCTCAGGGAGAGGCACTCTTACCCTCGGACAGCATGTAGCAGGCGCAGAGAAGGGTAGGCTGTGCGCACATTGACATGGTGCTTCAGGATGAGCGCATTCACCCACTCTACCCTCTCCTTGCCACCCTTGGCCATGAAAGCTGGAATCCACAGGATGCTGCCATTGAGGCTGTGCAGGCGCTGAAGAAGTTTTTCCCTCCAGGTCTCATTGACTAAGTCCTCGAAGGCCCTCTGGATGACAGAGGGGTTCATGGTTACCAGGTCTGTCTTGACCCCCACATCCTGGGCATATTCCTGGACAGGTGCCAGGTTGCACCTGAAAGAAGAAAAATGATCATAACACCTTCTGGAAAGTAGTAGGAACTCTATAATTTTCTCCTTTCTTCCTCCCTACTTACTTTAGTGCCTGTTACATAGCAAACACTCAATAATTGCTTTTTCCTTTATTTATTCATTCATTCTCTCTATTCAACAGTCATCCATTCAACATTTGTCTGTCTGTCTATCTATTCATTCATTCTATTCAACAGTCATCCATTCAACATTTGTCTGTCTGTCTATCTATCTATCTATCTATCTATCTATCTATCTATCTATCTATCTATCTATCTATCTATCTACCTACCTATCTATCTGGCAATTGGGGTTAAGTGACTTGCCCAGGGTCACACAGCTGGTAAGTGTCAAGTGTTTGGTCTGAGGTCAGATTTGAACTCAGGTGCTCCTGACTTCAGGGCCAGTGCTCTATCCACTGTGCCACCTAGCTGCCCCCTCAACAACATTTATTAAGTGCCTACTATGTGTATGGTACTAGGTGCAAGGATATTTGTGAAGATAAATGAGGTCCCTGACCTCAAGCTTTCACTCTAGAGAAAGATGATAGGTGCATAGATAAATGTACAAACTAGAATACAAGAGCACAAGAGGAGTATACAGCACTATGAGAATATAGGAGGAAGAAATCATTTCCAGCACCAATCAAATGATACTTCTATCCCATTCTCACAATTTAATTAAAAAACTACTTACCAAGGGCTTTCTCTGTGCCAGACTAGCACCCTATTCAGTGGCAGTGAGGTTAGTATTTGAAAGAGGTTTCACCACAGTACAGGTCAACTTTCTAGGGTTGCCCACCCCAGGCTCTAGCCCGGGAAGTACCCTATAGGGATATCCACCAATCTGTTGTAGTATAGGTTTGTGCCTAGCTATTCACATTTATTCCTCTCCCTCATTTCCCCCCTTTTAGCCAGGTTCTCTAAATCAGGAAAGGGTTATTATTCAACAAGTATCTGATTACTGGGTAGCCACAGCTGAGGGGTATTATTTGCCATTCTCAATTGGCATTAGGGCTTTATAGTTGTCAATGGAAAAGCTCTTCTGTAAAAAGAAAACTTTTAGGGAAATCAGAATATGTGATTAGAGATCTGAAAAGCTATTTTTTTAAAAGGAAAAAAATTAGGAAAAATCCATTTCTGTGGTCTTTCTCCTCCCTCACTTCTCTTATCCCCCTCCCCCCAAATGACTAACATAATTGAAGGGCAATTAGAAAACAATTTGTTGCTGTGCTCTCTTTCTTAGGATATCTCTTAGATAATAGGGACTAAAAGCAATCAGTCAATTAAGTGCTTATATGTCAGGCACTGTGTGGAGTGCTGGAGATAGAAAGAAAGGTGAAGACATGTTCCCTGCCCTTAAGGAGCTACTATTCTAATGAAGGAAGTGACATACAAACAACTATGTACAAATAAGATATACACAGGGAAAATTGGAGGTAATCTCAGAGGGAAGGAATCAACAGTCGGAGAAACCATGAAGGACCTCCTGCAGAAGGTAGGATTTAAAGTGGGAAGCCAGGGAAATGAGGAGGCAGAGCAGAGGAGGGAGAGCATTCCAGGCCTGGGAGACAGCTAATGAAAAAGCAGGAATCTAGACATGGAGGTCTTGTAAAAAGAACAGCAAGGAGGCCAGCATTGCTGGGTCATAGAGTATGAGGAAAGAAGTAAAGTAAAAGGAATGGAAAGGCATGGAGAGACAAGGTTGTGAAGGGCTTTTAAAGTCAAACTCATCAGATATTCTAAAGTGTCTCATTCCATAACACCGAGAGTTCTTGTCAGATCTAAGAGGAGCTCTCAGTGTCATTAGTTTAGTGCATGTGTAAGATGTATTGGGCTTCCAAGTGCCTCCTGTGAGCTCTTAAGCCTGGGGCTGATCCTAGGACCCCTAAATCTTCCCTAAGAGTATAAGTGCACTTTAGGGACATGTTCTAGGGCCCTAATCCAGTGTAAACTTTCTCATTGTCCATTGTGACTAGATTTCAGGTCTATTTTGGGGTGCTGATGATGAGGGGTGTCCTACACTTGACAGACTCTGAGGACAATCCAATTTATCAAAAACTTTAATCCCTTGGTGGGTTGGGGAGAGAAAAAAGGGTACATTTGATCTAGGCTTTTTCCTCATCAATATCAAGCTAGGTCTCCCATGAGGATTCCTGATGTTCATAGGAATACAAGAAGGATCCATAATTTTGCTTGGGGAACTTCTTTCACCAGTGCAGATCCCTAACCTTAGTTAGTAGATAGGGAGCTCTAGGGAGTTGCTGAACAGAATCTGAGGTTAAGTTAGCCGCCCAGAATCACATAGTTATTAAAATGTCAGAGGCAAGATTTGAATCCATGTCTTTCTGACATTTGAGTCACTATGCCAGCCTGTTTCCTGGGAGAAATGCCCCCTCCCCTCCTTTTTTTAACTTGGCCCTTGGCCTTCCTTATTTGTTGGAAATGAAGCTGTCTAGGATCTTCATGAAAAGAACATACATGTTCTTGAGTGTGTGCGTGTGTGTATATAACCAAGACATACACATATGGAAAGGAGCAGAGAGAAGAAGGGTGTTGAGATAACTAGGAGTGTATTTGTATGTGTTAGGAATAAGCTTGTAGGGTGTGAGTCTTTAGAACTTTTATTGCATTTTCCAATGAAAGGAATGGACCTGTCCATTTTGATCCATTCTTGACTCATTGTTGACCTTTTGGGGAAATAATCCTTTGGCATGAATTTTTGTAAGGTAGACTTTTGTGGGAGGAGACATTCTGTATTGGCTTTAAAAGGAAAGTCTTTATTGCAAACAACCTTTTTTCTTTACTTATTGCCTTTTCCTTTTTTGTAAGAAATAAGAGTGCATCAGAACCAATAGAAGACATGGGCTCTGAAGGAGGAGATCTTTTCAGCTTAGAAACTGCAAATGGAAATTACCCCAGTGGAAGTTGTATGTGCCCTTCTCCATGTGGCCTGAGGGGGCAGCCCCTGAACCCTTGCCTCTTGGATACAAGTGGAGAGGATAACACTGGCAACGTTGAATTCTTAGGCAGCTCAATCCCCAAAACCAGCCTCCTAACAAAAGAAGGGGTGGGAGTCCCTGGGAAGTAAGCATATGGCTACCCCCTGGAAGATGGAAGATCAGCAAGGGACCAAAGCCATGACATAGATGAAGACCTTTGAAAAAACACTTGAATTTTGTCCTTTGCTAATACTGTGAGTTATTCAGACAGTGTAGGTGCAATGGGAATTGGATTAACTGTTGTAGCACCCTCAAGTTCATTTCTTTCTGGGGCAATCTAAGCCCCCAGGATAGTACCATAAGGCTGGATTCCTGTATAGGCCCCTGGGATGAAGAGGGATTCACCAGAATGTTGGGGGAATTGTTTCCCCAGGAACCCCAAGTTCATTTCCCTCCTGAGGAGAAGCTAAACCACAGGGTGGTGCTATGAGTCTGAAAAATTGAGAAGCCCTGGGGAATGGTTTGACTCACTGTAGAGAAAAGATGATTGTATTGATTTTTCAAATGGGCTACTGTGGGTCTTTTATGTGTTTCTTGCATTTTCTATTATGTGGAATAAAGTCTGTCCTGTACTCGATATATGCATTGTTACCTTGAGTGCTTGTATGGGAGTTGTGGGAACTTTCTGGTGGAACCCTAGCAATGAGTTATGTTTGAAGAATTTCTCATATTAAACTCTGGGTGGGGTTATGTGAGCAAAAGAGTGTTTATTTTGAGTCTGTCTCTAAGAATGAAACTAGTCCATTTAAGTCAAAAGCCTGGGGGTGGGGAAGGGGTGGCTAGATCACAGCTTACATAAGCATTCGTAAACCCTAGGTTGGATTTGCCTCTGGTGAGGGGGAATTTGCCCAGTGGGTCCTTTATATTGGCAAGAAGAGAGTAGTTCTATAGTAATTACGTGTATGTGTATCTGCATTGAAACTTTGATTTCTGATAATTCAGAAATTGTATCTCTAGAAAGTTTAATGCTTATCACTGTTCCAAAAAGAATTATAATTAGAAAGGGTACAAACCATGAATGTGAAAACATTGTCATTCTTTGTTATTCAGAATGATGAAAGGATAGCCACTTCCCCCCATGGAATGAGAGGGATTTTTTGGGGGTCTCATTTCATACTTTGGCTACAGTAATATCATTCCCTCACTCATCACATCCAAGGTGAGAAGCAGATAAGATAACTAGCTTCGAGATTTGTGTTTTCAGCTCTGGTCTCTCTCCTGAGGTTCAGACTTGTATTATCAACTGTCTTCAGGACATTTCTCCCTAGCTATCCCTCTGGAATGTCCAGCTTGACCTGGAGCAAAAGAAATTTATTCATTTCCTGTTAAATCTGCTCGTCTTTCAAATTTTACACTTTTTGTCAGTGGTGCTACCACTTACCCAGACTCACATTCAAAATCCTGGTGTTAGATTCAATTCTCCTCTTTTTTTCACTTCTCATATCCAGTTACCAAATTTTGTTGATTTTTGTTGTCAAAATGTCTCTCATCTTCCTCCTCTTCTCAATTTCCATTGCCATTTCCTAATCTAGTCTCTCAAGCCTCTTACTGGCTCTTCTCACTTATACTCTTCCCCTCCAATCTTTCCTTCACATGCTCACTTTGCTTAATCACACATTTAACCATGTTACTTCTTTGCTCAAAACTCTTCAATACTCCCTACTGCTTACCAAGTAAAGCTCAAACTCTTCTGGCTGGCATTCAAGGCCTTCCACTTCCTCCCATTCCAGCCTGTTCTTACATTGCTACCCTCTGCCATTCAGCAGAAAACCATCTTCAACTTCTTGCTGTTCCCCGTGTATATTATGTGCTTTCCTGCCTCTGTCCCTTTGGTTTTACTTTTACTCATAACTTGGGATACCATCAACACACACTCCTACCCCCTGCCTATTCCATTTATAGGTTTATAGGATCATAGCTTTAGAGCTGAAAGGGATTTTAGCAGTCATCTAGTCCACCCTCACTGCCCTCCTCAATTTTAT